TGTTTGAAATATGTTTATCAAGAGAAGAGAGACGGGACCTAAATTCTGTAAATGTAAGATTTTTTAATGAAATTAGATCAAACAGATCAACAAGGGCATAATAAAAAATATGTCTATAGTAGGCAACTGTTAATAAAACAAGTATAATAAATTGGTAGTTCCTTTCATTGCTCTTATAAGTAAGTATATTATTTATTCTTAATAAGGTTAATTATCTGAAGCCCAAAACTATAATGGGGTAACGAATGGCCACTCAAACAATTGGAAGTAGAGAACTAACTTAAATTTTAGCAGTAGAGGTACCCACACATTTAGGATTTTATATATTTAGAATGGCTTCTGACCTCACACCTCTCAAATAATTTTAAATTAGTTATTATGTTATAAAATGCTGTAAGTAAACTTGGTTGGAAATACTTTTTCCTGCTTCATTTTATGTCTTGTGAGAGACTTGGTGCCATGAATAAATCCATTGCATCTTCATGAACAGTTTGTGTATTCCATATTAATTTTATTTTGTCCAATGAATCTAGTTCAAATGTTGCCTTTTTTGTGTGTGTGCTGATTCCTCCTCTCCTTTTTGATTATCCTTCACAGTTTGGTAGTTTTTGCAACTACAATGTGAATCTTTTTTTTCTTTCATTGTATGTCTTTGTGTCCTATCCTACTATGGATAGTAATCAGACTGTTTCTCTGGCTGAAAAGATTGAATTAATGCTATTGCATACTGATTTATAGTCTTGTATAATCTTTATTCATTATGAAACTATTTTCTTATTACATTGTCCTTTTTCACCAGCAGGGGTGATGAGAATTGTTCTATAACATTAGGTACTTCTTCAGATCAGTTCTGGCATATGTACTGATATCCTGTTCTATGGTGTGTTTTAATATTTGAAATGAATATTTCCTTAGCACCTGAATTCAGACTACTATTTTCCAGTGTACAGGCATAAGACGTAGATTTGGTCATTTATGGAAATGAAGACCAGTTGTAATTTTGAATCTGAATTCTTGAATCCCAACTTCATAAAAAACATACGATTCAGTGATATCTGTAAATAATGTACACAAATCCTACTAACATTTTGGAAGAAATTTATATTGGTAATATAGTAGAGATGTTTACCAAAACTGTAATTCATAAAGCTGGACTTTAGGAAAGTTGAAGAGATTTTAAAGTTGAGACAAAAATCTAGAAGTTGTGTAAGGTTATGCTTAGAATGATTATGACAGATTGAGACTTTAGAAATTCTGCTGCTTGTTTCTGTGTACCTTTGAAATCAAGAAAACAGAATTTAAATAGATGGCAGCTCTTAAAAGTTTCAGTGTTATAAAATTGTCCCTTGTCAGTCAAAAATACTGACTAGAAAAGTAAGGAGAATGTTGAAGAGCAACATGCCTGTGAGAAGAGAACAAGTTAAAGGAGCATTTCTGTAGGTTACAGGACTTTTTTATGGGTTTAAACCATAAAAGTTAGAAAGGTCTAACTAGAAAAATAATAGTCTACATGTTAATCTTCTTGAATTTGCAACTATTGTTTCATTTTTCTCAATCAAAAAAAGACTTTTCAGATCAGCTTGGCTGAACTTAGCTTGGCAAAGTTAGCAGGGAGTCAAATTTAGACTTCTGACAGGAAGTTATCTTCAGACTTAACTATGGAGAGACTAGCATCTCTGCAATTTTACACTCACTTCAGATTAGTCACGTTGAAATATGTTGCTGTGGTCCTGATCAAATCTTGCCAAGTGTGCTAAATAGGAAAATAATATCTATGATAGCAATTTAGAAAAGGAATCTAATCATTTGAGGTCTACAATCAGAAGTTGATAAGAAAAAGATGTCTGATGTATTTGATCATATTTTAGCAGGTTTTATTTGAACTTGAATGTTTAGGTTAATTGTCCAATTTGGGCTAAACCAGTGGTAAATACAACAATGGCATTTATGCACATTTATTTTCTATCAATCTTTTATGTTTTTGGATTTTGTTTTGGTTTTAGCACATATGACTCCATCCTTTACTTTTTCAAAAGAGAACTTAGCATAAAAAGCATTAAGAATTACATCAAGAATTACTGCCTTAGAGAGTTAAATAGTATGTAGGTACATGGAAAGCTGACTGTAGGTATGTTTTGTGGTAGATATGTTAAGTTGGATTTCATAAACATAAAAGCATCAATATAAGAAATATGTTTTACTCGAAAGTTGTATTACTGAGTTTTATCTATATTGAACAATTAGTTTCTTACCTAGATCTGTGCTGTTATCACTGTCTGCTGTTGTAAGGATCATTAGAATTTTAAGAAGATTCAGAGGCTGCCTAGGAAAAAATTTAGAGTCTTCTGTGTCTTCACCTTCACCTATTTCATCATTGTCTCCATTCCAGCGTGTTTTGGCTACCTATGTAGAAAGTTACAGAAGTTGTTCAGTGATTAAATTAATATGTTTTCAAATAATTTGCACATTATTATTAGTTAGAGTTAAATAAGAAATAAATAAATAACACACATGAGTGTGATAGTAATTAAAAATCTTTTGCTTCAACAAACCAAAAAGTGAAAATTCATGTCTGTTTGTAAGATAGAGGAGAGTCTCTGTGCTTCCTTAGGAGCATTAATTCTGCCTTAATTTATTCACTAATTGAAGAGAGAACAAGTATGAAAGGAAGTTAGCTGTGTGGTTCTTCACAGCTTAGATCTGTTATCTGATTACTACCCTAGAGCTGAAACTTGTGCCAGACTTCAAACTCGGTGTTGTTCCTGTATATGGTTACTCTGGATTCATTACAGTAATAAAACCATTGAAACAATAAGCTTTAAAAATAATTAATTTTTGGGAAAGAAATTGTTCCCAAACATTAAAAATCAAGTTAATCCCTCAATATGTTATATTGTATTCTTTTGTTTGCCTTTCACTTTGAAGACATAATTTAGTTTTATTTTAGCATTAATTATTTACTTATTTACTTATTTACTTAGAAAGCAATGATCCTAGGATACCTAAAGACCAGCAGAGGCTAAGAAAAAAATAAACTATGACTTGTATTAGACACAGGTGATAATTCAAAATGAAAGCGTAGTGAAGTCAGCATTTTAATGGATCAATGAAAGATTGTCATGTGAAAATCCAGATCTGTTGTTGGCTGCTAGTTAACATATCCTGAGATTTTATCTTTGTTTCACATGATCTATAATTACTTTCCATAAATCATGATTTTATAATATATACCTTGAAGTATCTCCCTTAATCTACCTGAAAGTCCCTTTTGACACAAATTTATGGGTAATTTTGCTTGGAGGGAACCATAATTTCTTTAGCTCAGATTTGAGAACCATTTGTACCATAAAGAAAAAGAAATGAGTGAAGCTATTCAGAAAAAAAATTATTAAATTGCCGATTACTGTGTACAAAGGAAATCTATGCTAATGACATTGAAAGACCTTTTTCTGTTAAGACAGACCTAATTCTCTTACATAAGCTGAACATCTTAAAGCTCAGTGTATTAGTACTACCCTAAAAGACACAGATTGTCTCAGACAATTTTAATTCTCATTCTATTATATTTTCCTATAATTGCTTTGGGTGAAATGTTGCCTTCAAGTCTTGGTCTTTGCCCTGAAATCAGTAGTCACATGAGATCTGTTTGGGCTGTAACTTGGAATTTAGTGAGTAATGAATCAGCCTGACTCATATCACAACAATTTTCAACATTTATATTAAGGAAGAGTTGTTTAAAATGGTGTGTCCCTGAGATCTCAAATGCTGGTCAGAGCTGATTCAAATGGTCTTTACGATCAGAATTGAAACATAAGTTGAAAAAATACACTTGAAAAAGCTTTTTTTTCAAACTTAATTATTCAGATGGAAATAAATATCTTTTAATGTAGATTAAAATTAAATTAAATTACATTAAAATAAATTAAATTAAATGTTCCACAAAATCTTGGCTGCTGTACAAACTTACCAGATAGTACTGCCTATAATCTTTCCTCCTGCCCCATGCTTTTTTATTCTAGGACAGGACAGTGTTTCTGACAGGATTTATGCAGACACAGTACAGTGACAGAAGCCTTTAAATTTACACCAGCTTTCCAAAAATGGTATCTATACATCCTACCAGTGTTCTACTATGTTTAATACACAATGTTATCCATTAATAAATAATTTATTATATGTGCTCATGAATGCAAAATGGTACAGAGAGAGTTTACTGTTGAATTTACCAAAATAAATAAGTTTTATATTAGCCAGGTCTTCCAACTTATCATAGTATACCATGCAAAAATATTTTCTAGGACCTGAATCTTTCCATCCTATGTACTGTCTTAGAGCAAGCTACAGAGTTGGAGAGAAAGCAGCTCATTTTCCAATAGCTGAATAGGATTTTTAATAGCACTATCAATAAATAAAACAATATTTTTAATACAATAAAACCTAGTTGTATATATGCTAAAATAGTCAATGAATACCACAGCAGAGGACTTTCAAGTACATGTTTTTCTTAAGAAAAAACACTTAAAATGTATGTTGCAGTTACTAGCAGATGACAAGTTGACAGAAAGCTAGCACTTGTTTTCCATCACTAGCTTTTGATTCATAGCCTTTTGGCACTGTTTTCTTATAACACCAGTTTGGCATCCATAGTGTTCTATATGAAAGAGCGAGTCTTGGTCTTGCAGTGTTACAAAATCAATGCCTAACAGCTCTTTCATCTTTCAAGCTAAAAAAAACAAGTACCACAGCACAAAATAAGGATAGAAGATATAACAAGACAATGTTGACTATCCTGTCATTTATAGGTTCCTTTGTATCCTCAATGGCCTTTAGTCATTATTGACTGTTTGTTTTTTAAACCTCTGTACGTGTATAGACATAATTTTGCAAATGCTACAAATGGCCAACATAGGATCAAAATGCTAATAGATTTAACAAATTGCCTGGTCAGTAGTTTTTGGGCTTCTTATGTATGTTGACCACTCATTTTCTTTCGTTTGCAGATTGTAGCTTTGCGTGAACAAAATGCACACATTCAGAGGAAAATGGCAGCCGGTGAAGGGCCTGCTGAATCAGAGCATATTGAAGGAATGGAGCCAGGGCAAAAGGTTCATGAAAAGGTATAAAATGTTAGTTTTCATTGGATCACATCAATATGAGAAATAATCAAGTTTAAGATTTTTGTAATGTGAATATTTTATGGGAATTCCCTTTAGAATATTGTCCGCCTACTGAAACTAGGATCAAAAAATGAGCTTGTTTAAATGGAAAGGAAATGCAAATGGACAGGTGCTTGCTCTTTGATATGATATTGAGTTAGATCCACAGCTTATAACAAACTTTTCTTGGAATTTTTTGCATAATGTTACAATTAAGGATGCTATATCCTGCTGAGTGATCCACTGTACATCACGTACAGAAGAGCAAGATGTAGTGACACATACATGCAAAAGGGCATATGTGCAAAAACTGCTGCCATAAGGGGCAGAAAGAGACCTAAAAACTAGAAAAAGTAATTTTTCTCTGTGTCTCCTGTAGATACTCTTCAACTTCATGTCCATGTTCATATAGACAAAAGTGAAAAGCATTTTACATACTTAACACTCTTTCAATATGAAATAAGTATATAGAATTTAGGCTATGTATTTGCCACTTAAGGCTGGAAGAGAGAAAAAAAGTAGAGAATATATGATTTAGAAACAAGGTTTTCTTCTAAGCCTTAGTTTTCCAGGTTGATAAAAATCAATTTGCATATCTTCCTCTCTTGCTTTACAGTTATTAAATTAAAGTGCAAGCAAAGCGTAACATTTGGCAGACAGCTGAAATGAGTAGAGCTGATGCTTGGATTTTTAATTGTGCATTTTTGTTTAATGACGTGATGAACAGTGGCATAAATCATACTTATAAAAAATAATGCTTATCATACTTATTTATTTTATAGGCAATCCAAACTATGAGGGCGCACTTGTACTGCAAGCATTAATTTTACATGTTTTGTGGTTAATTTTATGTGCGTATTTTTCTTTGAGTAATCTATGTGGTTGAGAAACGCACAGTAAATAAATACTGTTCAGCTACTTTGCTCTTCCTTGCAAAATTTTACTCTGAAATTTTGTTCAAACATTTCAACATTTGTGAGCACTTGTGCTTTTAAGTACAACCACACTGCTTAGCTAAAAATCTCTAATTTTGTACTTTCTTTGCAAGCTGTGTCTTCTGTTTTGAGCCATTTTGCTCATTATTTATAAGCAGAACTGAATGGAAATAAGAATATCTATCCTTTAAGAAATCTGCATATTTAAACATTAATGAAAGAGAAATGAAAGCCATTTTCTATTAAATGTTTCTAGAATGTTATGTTCAGACAACTTCTGTGCTTCATAATCAGAACAATTTCAATTGGTCTTGTTAGGCTGAATTAATGGCTTGTGCTTACTAATTTTTGCTCCTTATATTAATGAAAGCATACTAGATAGGAAGTTAACAGGAGGCTATATTGACACCAGATCGACCAGTGCACTCTACTTCACATCCTCTGCACTAGCTTCTCTCTACCTGTCTACCATTACCTTAGTGCTCACCATCAATTCCTCCTTAGTTTGTGAAGAGAAGTTCCCTCTTTGTAAAATACTTCAGCTTCAGCCCAGACTCTAAGCATTCATTTAGAAAATATTCCTTCAACTTCAGCAGCAGGGTTGGAGAACAATAAGCTATGAGGTAATGATTTGCACCATCTTATAATACGGAGATTAAGCTTCAGTTTCAGTCAGTCTGAGTAGATCCTACCTTTTAGGTTTCCACTTTGTGGCTGATAGTCACAACAATTATACAGATAAAACTTAAGCAGGGCCTTCATGACATCACCATATTAATTATGCCTATCTCCTTGGACTTCTCAGGAGATATGCATGTGGTAAAATCTACACAGACATCAAAGTAGAGCTTGCCCGTGTTCCCAGAGCAAGTAGTATCCAATCAGTGTAGTCAGAGGATCCCTCAGGTAAGAGTTAACCAGCGTGGCTAACATGGCAAACATGAAGACTGGACTGCTTTCTGAGATTTAGGTTTGTGAAAGTTTAACATCTCTTCTGAACCTGGAATAACTTCTTGTGTATTTAGGAAAAAGATGCCAACGTAGATTTCAGCTCATTTTTAGTATCAATACTGAATGATTACTCTACTCTGCGGGGGAGGGGGGGGGGGGTGAAAGATAATCTGACAGAATTCTACAGCAACAAAGAAATATTTTGCAATATTGCAATGCTTAGAATAGGTGCTGAAAGAAGTTATTAAATACTTGTAAGCTACTTCCTCTCAAGGGGGTTGAAAGAACAGTCCAATAACTTTTCTGGGCCATTCATTTTCTCTTTTGAAAAATCTTGGAAAAATGGGACATTGCCAGAGAACTGAAAAGTTAATGTCATGCCAATAATTAAAACTTAATATGGCTCAAGTTGCATTAGTTCATTTATCTAAACTGATAGCAAAATTATAGTGAAAAAAGCTAATAGTGAAAAAAACAACAAACCACTCCAGAATCTGAAAATCAAAGAATGCTAAAATGAGAGTTCACATGTTTTATAGAAAGTAGTTTATGCATATATGTTTTTATGAGAAAAAAAAATGATTCAAAAGGAAATTGTTCTACTGTACCATAAATTGATTTCTATAAAGCAATGGCTTGGTAAATGGTAACTTTATTTTAATGAGCAGTAAAGGATATCAAGCTAGTTAGTCTTTAAGAAACAGAAATCTTATTAATGATGACAGGGTGTAATTATAAATGGAGACTCATTATCAAGTATAAATGAAGCATCTCAAAAGAAAATAATGGTAAAATAAATGTAATGAGAAGTATTAACTATGAAATTTATTACTTCACACACACACACAAAAAAAAAACCAAAACACAAAGGAAAAATTCTAAGAGAAAGAGTGAGTGACTTTTAATTATGATTTCATGAAAATCCAAACTTTGTAAGGCACCTGCTCTGGGAAAATATTAGGGATTTCAACATGGAATTATCCTGATTTAAACCAAAACAAAATGAAAAAACAAGGAGTGTCTTGAGTCTAGCTTTTTGTGCCTGGAACAGACTACAGATTGCACTGTGAGTTGCTTTCATTGGCAGGTGAATGCCAGGTCATTGAGCAGGTAAGGTCACATGTTTTGTAGTGGGGACCTCAACTAGGTACATTAAAGTTTCTAGTCTATGACTACAAAGCTATATCACTTAGGCAAGAGAAATTTATAAGCTAGCAAATACAGGAACTTGCAAAGAAGCCAACTTGCACAAATAGAACAGCTTTAAAGGACTTCGAAAAATTGTTAAAAAAAAAACTGACAAAGATCATCTGCTATGGGAATTAAGATGCGACTATTTCTATTATCAGATATTGTCCTACCTAGATCTGTGACCACTGGACACCACTTGCCACCATCCTGATCTTTTACTCGACCTGTAAGGATGATAGCCTAATTTCTCTGCAATTAAAGGCCAGGAAAGGTAGAATCCCCAGTGAATAAAGTGCCTGTTGGGAAATCTATTAGTAAGCAGGTAGGGAAGCTGCAAAGGACTGAATAGCGTTAGAGATCAAGATGATATTGATGGAGGATGCATGCAGGGATGTTAAAGGAAAGAAGCTGGGCAGGTTTGAAGCTCTGCAGTGGCACAAACAGAGGAGAAGGAACATGCCATTCAGCAGGGGGGTAGCTTATGTGTACCTCTTCTCAATTCTGATGGTTTCCCATATGAAACAGCCAGCAGTGAGTGACAACAGATGAGCCCCTTTTGACAGTACAAGCAGGGTCTATTGACTACACCTCATGTACCTCTGGGGAAACTAGGGTGCAAGGTGTTAGTAAAGGATCACCAAAGTACATCTGCTGCCTCTAATTATTGCACCAGCAGTACTGCGGGTGGTTATTTATCCCAAGCAAACCCAAAATGATGACGAAGCTTTGGGACAAGAAGGGTTGGTGTTCTCATCAGTCATTGAGTCCTTGATAAGCTTCATAGCTCAGAAATAAAGATACATTGTGAAGACTACAGTGCAGCTGTGCAGGTGGTGTTGCCAAATGATCTTTGGTTTTCTCAGTTCAGGAGCTGATGGGCAAAAATAGACTATGTCATGTAAAAGCACGAGAGTCTCTGACCAGTGGTTTTCTACTTTTGTGAGAAAGATTAAACAAAGGATGCCTAGAGATGCATTTGACCACAACCCTTAGGTTGAAAGTGTATTATTTTTCATAAAACTTCATAAATGTGTATGGTTAGTGGGGCAATGTAGAAAAAGGATGTTATCATCTGGTGGAATAATAAGAAGGAAAACTTGCAATCTATTCATATAAGGTTGTACCATAAATCACAAAGGGGGAAGGTGAAATGGGTTAGATGTATTATAAGCAACAAAGCAGAATTAGTCAGAAAGTCGGACCTACACTGAAGATAACTTGGATTGATGTAATTGCCACTGACAGAGGTAGGATCCTAACGTCAGTAGGAATAAACTTCATCCCTTAATATGGAAAGAGCTCTCTGATAAAACCTCATAGTAGAGCTCTCTGTTAAAACCGCATAGTTATTTTTTAAGAATTTGTACGTTTGGGAAGACTAGAATGAATAAACACAGCACCTATGTAATATGGGAAAAAGACTTACAATAATTCTGCTAAAATGGATCTAGGAATTAATGGGGATGAGAAAAATATTATGGATCAACAGTATAACCGCAAATGCTATGATGGGATAGCTAAACAGAATTAGAATCTGCAGGACCTATGAAATATTCCTGAGCCTTCCTCAGCACTGGTAAGGCTTCAGCTGAAGTCTTGTACCCACCTTTGGATCTCACACTTGAAGAGAGATGTGGACTGTCTTGATAAGAATTCAGAAGATAGAAATAAAAACAATCAGAAATCTAGAGAACATAACCTGTGAGAAGAATTTTCAAAATGTAGGCTGAAAGCCTAAAAAAGAAAAGACACAGAATTATTATCTTCAAATATATAAAAATGCAGCTTCAGCTATAAAGAGAATCAGTCAAAGAATCTCAAGAACTAGAAACTTTCAAGGATTTTTAGGAGAAACAACCTACATTTTAGAGAGGGTATAGTGCT